CCTGAGCCGAACGCAGACGCTTAACCACTGAGCCACCCAGGCGCCCTTGGACATGTGTTTTCAAATGCTGTTTTTAAAGGTAAACATGATTCCCCCAGACTCTTCCCCACTCCTCAGGGCATCTGCAGCCAGTGCCATTGGAAGTGTGAGGCAAGGGATTGATTCCAAAGGGCTAATGGGAGAACCCAGCCTCTCCTTCCAGAGGTTAACCAGTTGAGATCCAACTCAGACTCTTCTCCAGGCCCTTCCACCCTGCAGCCTCACCTTACCCACTGTCATCGCCCTCCCCTCCCTCATACCCCAAATTTACGCCATAACGGAGATCTGGCGATTAAAGGATTTTTGCCTTTCAGTTAAATTAAAATGCTCAAAGCAGCCGGCAGGGAAGAGAATGAAAACAGGATTGACCCAGATCTCTTGGAAGCCCTGGGCCCTCTCATCCCTCCTGAGCATCCCTAGGCCTGCGATGTCCCCAGGGATGAGGCACGGTCTGGTCCAAAAGTAGCATCCTGTATGCACAGTGGTCAGAACAAACTGAGGCCCCAAACACTGGTCTTCTACCCCAGAGCCCCCCGATTCTTTGTGGCAGTCCAGCTTCCCTGACTCGGCAGACTTCATGTCTACAGCACTTAGACTCTGTTCCTTATGTCTCGGGGACATCAGCCGCTGTACAGGAAAGCATCTCTCCCGCTCCACTTCCAAGCTCCTCCCTCTGCCCCTCGGTCCCACACAGCACCAAAGCTGTTACCTGCGCACATGACCTGTCCCTCGCGAGGGCCCCGGAAGGGATCAATAGACCAAAGGCTGTTGAGCAGCCTTTGCCCTGAGCCAGTTGCAGTAAACCTCTCCTGTGTCCAGTTTTTGGGCTCAAATCCTAGGCCACGCCATTCGGTAGAGAGGGCTCTGAACTCCGAGTCCAAAGATCTGGGTTTGCGTTCCTATGCGGACTTGTGACAGCAGTGACTTTGTCCCTTTACCGACGGCGGGGGTGATGCTTTGCATCCTGCCTGTCTCTAGGGACAGCTGAGGTAACAGGAAGAGATTGGTGGGTGGTACCTGCTGGGAAACTCATAGGGGCTAGAGACCCCTGGTCTGAGGGATTCAGAGAACGGGAAAGACTTCGCTCCCAGCACCAGTGAGGGTGGAAACAAGGACCCTTTCAGGGAGATAGCCTCTCAGAAACTGCCATCCTTGACTGGCTCCCCAGATCCGCCAACTCAAACAGTAGCCCTGTGCCAGGAGTTAAAGAGGTGCATCAAAGCGATGGACAAAGTTATGTTTTTATGTAGTAGTGAAAGGTTGAGGGACTTAGCCAAATTGTTGGGAAATGCCTGGGCATTTCCTGTATCGTGGAAAAGATTATAGCAAGCGGGACAAGAAAAGGTTATAGCAAGCGGCCCGGAGTGTGAATCCCAGCCTTGCCACCTACTAGCTGTGTGACCTTAGGCAAGTTACTTAACATCTCTGGGCCTCAGTTTCCTCATTTATAAAATGGAAGTAGTTGTGTCCCAAGGTTACTGTGAAAATTAAGTGAAAGAATGTATGTGAAGTTCTCAGCTCATTAGCTGATAATATGTGTGCCAAAAGTGGCATTTTTCTTCAAGTTTTATTTATTTTTATTTTTTAAAGATTTTATTTATTTATTTGAGAGAGAGAGAACGTGCTCAAGAGAGGGCGCGAGCGGAGGGGAGGGGCAGAGGGAGAGGGAGAAGCAGACTTCCCACTGAGCATGGAGCCTGACACAAGACTCTATCCCAGAACCTGAGATCATGACCCGAACTGAAGGCAGATGCTTAACCGACTGAGCCACCCAGACACCCCACGTTTTATTTATTATTATTATTTTTA